GTGATCACTGATCTTGGGGGGAAAGATGGAAGAACAGTACACACTTCATCAGAAAGATAAAATGTATAAGAAATTACCAAACAGTAGTTATAACTGAACTGAAAAATACGTTAGAAGGATTCAACAGCAGAATGGATGAGGTAGAAGAATGTATCTGTGAGCTGGAAGACAAAAAAATGTAACTCACCCAGACACAGCAGCAAAATGAAGAAAGAATTTTAAAATGGGAAGATACATGATGAGACATTTGAGACTGCATCAAGTGTAATAGTATTCACATTATAGGGCTTCTAGAAGGAGAAGAGAGAGAGAAAGAGCCAGAAAAATTAAATGAAGAAAAAGTGGATGAACACTTTCCTAATATGGGGAAGAAAGCAGATATCCAGATCCAAGAAGCCCAGAAAGTTCCAAATAAGATGAACCCAAAAAGACACACACCAAGACACACTACAATTAAAATGGTAAGGGGGAGGGGAGGGAGGAGAGAGAGATATATATATATATACATAAGCATAATTATGACTGATTTGTGTGGTTGTATGGTAGAAACCAATACAACATTGTAAAGCAGTTATTCTCCAATTGAAAATAAATTTTTTTAAAAAGGAAATAATCCAAACATTCAACCATAGTACAGTATGAGCATTCTCTTAGTTGATGAACTACAATGTATCCATTAAAAAATATTAAACTTCCACATTCATACTTATTATGAGTCTAAGGGTCAGGGTACAGAAATGTGTTTGTGTGTGTATGCATGTGTGTGTATATATGATTTTACTACTCTTTTTTTAAAAAGGTAGAGATAAAGAGAAATCCTAAAAGGAGCAAGCAAAGACCAGCTTGTTACACACAAGGGAAATCCCAAAAATCTATCAACAAATATTTTAAGCAGAAAATATACAGGCCAGAAAGGACAAGCATGATACATTCAAAGTCCTGAAAAGAAAAAAATGTTCAACCAAGAATTATCTACCCAGCAAGAGTTGAAGGGGAGAGATCAAGAGTTTCCCAGATAAACAAAAGCTAGGCGACTTTCATCACCACTAAGCCAGTTCTGTAAGAAATGTTAAAGGGAGTTCTTTAAGCTGAAAAGAAATAGCAGTAATTGATAAGGGAGCATGCAAAAGTAAAAATCTCACTGGAAAATGTACATAAATGTATAATAAAGGTAATATAAGGATCACTTATATGAAGATTAAAAAACAAAAGTAGTAAAAATGACTGAAATTACAATAATTAGTTATGGGTGCCAAAAATAAAAATATGTTAACTGTATCATCAGTAAATTTCAAAAGATCAAAATCACACACTGTTCTGTGACCACAAAAGAAATTAAATTACAAACAAATATCTAGATAATCCTAAATACTGAAAATTAATGTATTTCTTAACATTTCATTAATCAAGGGGCTAGTCACAAGGGAAATTGGAAAATATTTTTAAAGGATAATGCATATACTACAGCAAAATTTGTGGGGTACAGTTTAAAGTCTAACCTAGAGGGAAATTTGTAACTTTAAATGTTAGAAGGTAGATTGTTAAGGTAGACACTTAATCAATATTAAAACAATCTAGAATAGCATTGAAACATGTATATTATCAATTGTGAAACAGGTCGCCAGTCCAGGTTTGATGCATGAGACAAATGCTCAGGGCTGGGGCACTAGGATGACCCAGAGGGATGGGATGGGGAGGGAGGTGGGAGGAGGGTTCAAGATGGGGAACACATGTAAATCCATGGCTGATTCATATCAATGTATGGCAAAAAACACTACAATATTGTAATTAGCCTCCAACTAATATAAGTAAATGAAAAAAAAATCTATAAACGTAAATTTTTCTCCAAGTGAAAGAAAGGATATAATAAAAATAGGAGCAATGAAATAGAAAAGATAAAACAATAGAGATTTTTTTTAATTTATTTTTAATCAGAGGATAATTGCTTTACAACATTGTGTTGGTTTCTGCCAGACATCAACGTGAATCAGCCATAGGTGTACACATGTCCTCTGCCTCTTGAACCTCCCTCCCACCCCATCCCACACCATCCCACCCCGATAGGTCGCCACGGTTTGCGCTCCCTGTATCATACAGCAAATTCCTACCAGCTGTCTGTTTACTACATGGTAATACATATGTTTACATGCTGCTCTCCATTTGTCACACCATCCCCTTCCACCACTGTGTCCACAAGTCTGCTTTCTATGTCTGAGTCTCCAAAACAATAGAGAAATTTTTTTAAAGTGAAAAGTTAGTTCTTAGGAAAGATAAATAAAATTGATACATTCTTAGTAAAATGAATGAGGGAGAAAATTTGATTGCCTGTATGGGTGAATGATTAATGAAAGAGGGACTAGCTCCAAATCCTAAAAATATAAAGGAAAATTATAGACATTTTAAGCCATTAAATTTGACAATTTAAATGAAGTAAACAAACTCCTTGAAATATACAACTTACCAGAACTGAGAGAAATAAAAACAGAAATTTGAGGTGGCCGGTTAGCTCAGTTGGTTAGAGCATGGTGCTAATAAAAACAGAAATTTGTAATAACCCACTATCTAACAATCAAATCTGTGTATCAAAAATACAGCACGAAGAAAAGTCCAGACCCAACAAGTTTCACTGGTTAATCAAATATTTAAAAATAATACCAATTTTATACCAACTCAGAAAAAGAAGGCAAAGGAACATTTCCTAGCTGATTCTTTGAGGCCAGCAATAATCTTACATAAAAGATATCTAACAAAGATAGTAAAAGAACTAAATTTATAGATCAGTTTCTTTCATGAACTTAGACATAAAAATCCTGGACAAAACATTAACAGACTGAAACCATCAAAATAAAAGAGGGTAAAACATCTGGAGCAAGTGAGAATTATACCAGCAGTACAAGATGAGCATGTCATTTGAAAATTAATCAAATTAATCTACTACATTAACAAAAACATAACTGACAAAATTTAACAACTATTTATGATCAAAGCTCTGAGTAAGCTAAGACTAGAATGAAACTTCCTCAATCTAATGAGAGATATTTATTCCAAAACCTCCAGACAATATCATTTTTAACAGTGAAACAGTATTTTCCCTCTAAGATCAGAAATAAGGCAAGGATATCTGCCATTTCTGTTTGACATTGTACTAGAGATCCTAGCCAGTTTAGTAAGATAAACAACAGGCATAAAGGAAGAAATAGAACTCCTGATTCACAGATATGATTATTTACATTAAAAAATTCTAAATTCCTCTAAACCTACTAGAACCAGGAACTTAAGCAATACCTCAGGACACAAGGTCACTGTACAAAAAAACCAACTGTATGTTGATACATTATCAGTTAAAGGTTGTAAACTTTAAAAATTGAAATAGCATCATTTAAAACAGCATAAAAACATAAATAGGAATTTTAGGAAGATACTGTAAGCCCTTGCCAAGAAGATAGATGATTGGTCACTGAAAACTACAAAAGTTTAGTGAGAAAAAGAAGACCCAGATAAATGGAGAAACATAACACATTCATGCATTTGAAACCTAATATCATAGATATTGGATGTCATGGAATTAAATTATAAATTCAAGTGCAATAAAAGTCCTCTTTGCCTGTGAGGTTGACAAAAAAATGAAACTCATGCGTGCACCTGTTTCTCAAGACTGAAATTACAGTCAGGGCAAAAGTAACTGAATTCTGGGCTTGCTTTTTAGGATTTTAACTCTCTCCTAGATTTCAGTTCCACTGTTCCTCATTATATAGTAAATCCTTAGATAAATTTAAGATGTGTCCTTGGTTTTGTACATTATCCAGTTTTTAATTTTTCTTTCATAAGAATCTGTTTCCTAGCTGTGTTACTATAAAAAGTCTCCATTGTCTATTTTTTCTATCATTCAGTTAGGAAAAAAGCTGTATTTTGAGCAATTACTGTGTGACAGATACTCCTGAGCACTGTATGTGGGGTGACAAGCAAGACAGAGTCTCTGTCCTTAAAAAGCTCCCATTTTAATGGAGAATGTGTTCATTTTTCTATTTAAACTGCTTTGGAAGGAGTGGTTATGAAATGCACAAACTTTAAGCACATGTTGATCTGCCTTCTGACGGCTCCCATGGTGAGTTAGAACCTCAGACAATAGACTTAAACTCCAGCACCTTGATGAATGGAGGACCATAGCAGTCTTCCCAAAGCCTGGGTAGGGAGAGAAATAGGGGGAAAGAATATGAAATGGTAAGAGAGGGGCTGACATTTTAAAGATGACTAGGATTTTGCCATGTGACCAGCAAAGGTTGGAGAAGTGACTTTGGAGGAAATTATGTTATTTTCTATCCCACAGAAACTCCAAGTGTAAGAAGTCTCCATGAAGAAGTTTTGAGAGTTGAAGAAACTCCTGGAGTTTAACCAAAAGTAAAAGGGAACATCCAGGCTCTAAATCCATTATAGCAGAGGCTCTCAAGGAAACCACTAAACCAACTATGCATCCCAAGGAGGATGTTAGACAACCTGTGGCCACATAGCTGGTCTCTGAACCCATCCAAGCACCCACTTCAGAGGCCAACAGAGAGGCCACCCTCCAAACTGCAAACTGCATTGCCTACCATGAAAGCAAATGAACCAACAATTCCCTCCATGGAAGACCCTCCTCCTGAAACATAACCTGAACACCACCACCACCACCCCCACTGACTCCTCCCAGTAATCCTCTTTTTATGATGGTTTCTACATCCAGAATGCTCTTCTCCTTTGGGCTGTCTTCAAAGAAGAATTAGCCACAACTTGCCTCCTCCTCTTTCTTCTTCCTCTCTGGGCCCAGGGTGAACTGATGGTAGAGAGAGGTCAAGAAAGAAGTGCAGAAGATCCAGGGAGGCTCTCAGGAAAACCATTTCTGGTCTCGCCTTCCATCTCCAAGTGATAAGCAAAGGGAAAATCGTGTGATCCTGAAGGGGGAGCTGGTCGCTCCCGGGTGAGACAGGATTTGTCTCATCCTAACCCTTCATAATATTCCCCGCTCAACGAGTAGCTGTGGTGAACATCAGCATGTAAATAAAGGCGCCTCTCAGGAACTCAGAAGGTAACGGATACACTGTTTGCACCCCTCTGTGGCCACTCAGACTGACAAAGACTAGGGGATGAGTGCCAAAGTGATGCCATCCAGAATCAGAAAAGGAGGAGTAGCGTGAGGCATGAGTCAGGGGCAAAGATCTCATCCCACACACATATCCTGTCATACAGCATGCCTGGGGTGCTTCCTCATAGCTGGTCACTGGCTGATTCCCCACTGGGGTGATGGGCATAACCCAGTGGCCTTTGGCCATCAAGGAAAACTAGAACTAAGCTTCCAGTGTTAGAAACAGCAAGTTGCATTCCACCCATGTGACCATCACCTATTCACGCTCCTTCTGCGGGCCTCGCGTTCCTATTTATATGGTGATGAGCAGGGGCAGACACCACAGTACCTTCCCTGTGGCTCTGGTTTATCCTGGGCTGACGGTGGAGTCCTGTAAACATCGGTGTGGGAGGGCTGCCTCGGACGGCCGCATTGTCATCCCAGAAAGCAGGGCTGTCTGGTTTGGGGTCTCCATTTCAACAACAGCCCCTCCACCCTCCCACACAGGCATCTGGAGAGAAGAGTAATAGCACTTCCTGTGGAGTGGCTTGTCACCTACATGCAGGTGACCCCAGACCCTTGAGTGTTTGAGGGCAAACGAGCTGGTCTGGCAAGGCTGAATATCAGGGGTCTAGAGGACAGATCACTGACATGCCTGTGGTGAGAGAATTCTCCCCCGTCACTTCTCCAGGCTCTCATCCCAGCCACAGCCCAGAGGGATGCCCACCCCCACATCACACCTTCCCCATCTGAAGCCCTCACCCCTAGACCTGCCCAGGTCATATCCAGACTTGCTTGTTCCATCCTAGTCACAAAGTAATATTTTACAGACACCTACTGGACATAAGGATTAACCCAAGGCAGCATGGTTTCTGGGGTTCTTGGAGGTTTCTTGATGGACCAAGGAGATATTTCTGGCAGGATACAAGGGCCACTCTAGATCCACTGGCCCTAGGTAAGGCCCAGAAGCTGGTCCCCGCTCTGGATCTCCAGCCAACCACAATTAGGTCTCCACCTCCCAGGTTGACATCCAGCATTTCCCCTCAACCTACCACAGGCCCAGCCTGTCCCGTTAAGCCCCTTTTAGCACACTATGGGCTCAGGCACCCCAACCCCCAAACCCAGACCAGCTTGATCCTGCACACACAGACCACAGAGAGAGTTATATAGGCCACTCCCTCACAGGGCCCTGTTCCTGGCCCCACACACTGCCCCCTCCCACTTCCCCCAGCAAAGACACTACCAGACCAGGAGATAAAACACAGGCTTTATGCCTGAGATCATCAGGGGAGATTTGAACAGCAGCTCAGCACTCACACTGTAATATTTAGAAACAGTCTGTCTCCCTCATCCCAGCTGAGGCTCCTGGACTTAGGGCTATTAAGCTAGTTCCTTAGGTCTCAGGATAATCTGTTTGGTTGTCCCCAACATAGAGAACTAGGCCGTCCTCTTGGTTACATTTCTGGGCCGTGACCTCAAAAGAGGTCACATGGTAGGGCTAGTATGAGTTAAGAATGACATCAGAGGAGCACAGGCTTTTACGACTGGGATTGTCACAGCAAGCCAGGACTAGAACCAACCAGGTGCTTCAGGCTGAATGGAGGAAGTTCTACATCCCAGCAAGGTCACCTCACTGGAAGAAGGGTGAGAGGCTATGGTGGTGCAGTCAGTGGTGGCCAGCTGGTTCAGCCTCCCTGCCTGGATAGCCAAGGTCTTCCCCTGGATGCAGAGGTAGCTGATGGTCCTGAGCCAGCTGCTTCCTAGAGAGTAGGCACAGGGCCAGAGCGACCTTCCCACTGTTCACTTGCCACTCCTGGAGCCCCGCTGTTTGCTCATGGCTGTAAGCATCTGGCTAATATAGGAAGTCAGCAGGTCATCCATCTTGTAGCCCTGGAAAGAGCAGCAAAAAGATAAGACAGAGCACCGAGGAGGACACAGCCACCCACTCTTACCCAGAACACAGCTCCCAGGAAACTGCAGTGGACAGAAACCTGGAAAAGGCAAATCTTGCCCCACTCTGGGCTCAGCCACACAGCTGGAGGTATGGATTCATCCAGCCAGATATCTAGGGTTCTAAGTTGTTGTGATCCCACATTAAGGTGCTAGTTTGTGGGTTGCTCAAATCCCTACTAAGAATAAACATTGGATAAGAGGTTGGAATGTCATACCTCATTGTTTGGATGTGTGAAGAATGGTATTAGGACTAGGATTGAAAAGATTAGGGCTAGTACTTCTAGTTAATTGGGATTAATGAGTTGTTCATAGGATATGCAAGTAGAAAACACCACTCTGGTTTAATGTGTGGTGGTGTATTTAGAGGATTTACCAGGGCATAATTGTTGGGATCTCCTAATAAATCAGGTGAAAATAGGACTAATACTAATTCTAGAACTAGTAAAAAGACACCTAGGATGTCTTTAATTTAGTAGGAATGAAATGGGATTTTACCTATATCAGATGATTTCTGTGGGATTATTAGCTCCTGTTTCGTGAAACATTAGTAGATGTACAGCAGCTACTGCTTCAATGATAAATGGAAGAATGAAGTGGAAAGTGAAGGATTGTGTAAGAGTTGCTTTATCTACTGAAAAACTGCCTCAGATCCATTGAGCAAGGTTTATACTGACATATGAGATTGCTGAGAGAAGGTTGGTAATAACTGTTGCCCCCCCCAAAATATTTGTCCTCAGGGTAGTATAAAACCTATAAATGTTGTGGCTATAACTGTAAATAACAGGAAAACTTCAATGTTTTCATGTTTCTAGAAAACTGTAGGATCCATTATATAGACTGCATCTTATAGGGATAAATAGGCAGATAAAGAATATAGAAGCTCTGTTTGCATATATGTGTTGAACAATTCATCTGTAATTTACATCTCAGCAGATATGTGTAACTAAAGAGAAGGAGGTTATCATCTGATATGTAGTGCATTGCTAGAAACAAACCTGTTAAGATTTATAAAACTAAACAAATGCCTTTTAGGAACCAAAATTTCATGATGATGAAATGTTTGATGGAGCTGGAAGATCAGTGAATGCATTGTTAATAATTTTTATTAATGGGCATGATTTTTCAGTGTTGGTCATTAGTGCTCTTGTAGTTGAATAATAATGATTTTTCATGTCAGTGGCCATGGTTAGATTCCATGTAAGAATAATGCTAGCATACATTGTATTTTAAGTACTATTTTTGTAATTAGTTTTGTGGGGTTTTTTCTTCAAAACCTTCATGGTGCATTTAAGTTGATTGTAGATGGTAATGTTGGAATTGTGCTGAATTTTCATGGATTTTGGGGGGCATTAATAGTGTTTGGATTTATTTGTTTTGTTGTTCAGTCACCAAGTCATGTCCAACTGCTTGCAACCCTGTGGACTGCAGCATGACAGGCCTCCCTGTCCCTCACCATCTCCTGGAGGTTGCCCAAATTCATGTCCATTGAATAAGTGATGCCATCCAACCATCTCATCATCTGTTTCCCTCTTCTCCTCCTGCCCTCAATCTTTCCCAGAATCAGGGTCTTTTCCAGTCTCTCAGCTGCTTGAATACTTTTTATACAGACTTTTGCCAGCAAAGTGATGTCTTTGCTTTTTAATACACTGTCTAGGTTTGTCACAGCTTTGGATTTATTTAAGGGAGATGTTAGTGGTGTTTGGGTGCCCTGGTGGCTCAGACAGTAAAGAATCCACCTGCAATGCAGGAGACCTGGGTTCAATCCCTGGGTTGGGAAGATCCCCTAGAGGGAGGGGCATGGCAACCAACTCCGGTATTCTTGCCTGGAGAATCCCCATGGGCAGAAGAACCTGGCAGGCTACAGTCCATGGGGTTGCAGAGAGTCAGACAGGACAGAGCAACTAAGCACAGCATTAGTGGTGTGTGGTTACACAACAGCTGTGGCTTCTGAGCAGATCCTGAAGTTTGGATCCCCAATAAGACTGTATTAGTAGCATTTTTTTCAGATTTAATAACAGAGTTTTCAGTGGTATTTTATGTTTTAAAAGATGAGGAAGTGGAGGTTGTGTTTTAACTTTAATGGTTTGGGAGATTGGGTAATTCAAGATGCAGGTGATTCTGGGTTTTTTTTAGTGAAGAGGCTATGGGAACTGCAGCACTATATAGCTGTGGTACTTGATTAGTGATTATTACTGGTTGATCATTGCATATTGGTGTTGTGGTTATTACGGAGACTACTTGTGGTAATTAAATAGAATTATGTTTAGGAAGAGGGTGATGAGGAGTGAGGAAATATACCTTGATTAGATCTTTTTGGTCTGATACTAATGTAGAGATTTTTATCTGAATAAGGGAAGTCGTTTTTCGTAAAATATTTTCTAATCAACAGGCTGACTTCTGGTTTGTTGATAGATTTGAGTAGGGTAATAAACAGTGTATAATAATACTTTCCCTCTTAGGGAAAATACCCTAAGAGGTTGGAAACTGAATATATTTGAAGAGTAAACTTTAAATGCTATGTGTTATTATTAATTTCAAGTGCTAAGGTAAAACCTAGAATGGTTATGGCAAGGGAAGTTGGTTTTAGGTAATAAGGTATAGTTATTTGAGGGATTGTTCTTGGAGGGGTATTGTTGAAAATAAAACCAGCTTCTGATTAATAGACATTTGATGGAACTGACTAGGAGATGATTATTTTCATTAATTAAAGTTAGGGTGGGAAAGCGAGGTTGTCCTAGTAGTGCAAAGATGATAAGGCGAGTGCTGTAGACAGCTGTGAGGGATGTGGCAATTAGACTTAGCAGGATCAGGTGCTGGTATTGACGTGTTAGCAGTTTGGATTATCAGATCTTTAAATTCAGCAAGGAAAGGCATTCCTGTCAGTGGTAAAGGCAGTTGTGGTAAAGAGTATTGCTTTAAACAGGCCTCCTATTTTTATGGATATTTTATGGGTTCATTATGGATAATGAGCCCAGAGCATATCAATAATATGACTTTAAAGAAAGCATATGTACAGATATGGAGAAATGCTAGGGAGGGTTGATTAATGCCAGTTGTTACTATTATAGGCCTAGTTGGCTTGAAATGGAAAAAGCAGCAATATTTTTTTTAACATTCTGGGTAAGAGTGCAAATTGCCATAAACAGTTATTGTTTGAATAAATTTATTATTTTATGTTAAAGGATAAAAGTGGATGAGTTAGAAAAGACCTGCTACCACTACTGTGCTTGAGTGGAGCAGGGCTGAGACAGGGGT